AAGTTTCCACAGTCGAGACAACTCCGTGTCCCTCCTCTAGCAGATTCCACGAGTGAGAGTGTTGTTTTTTTTGGGTGCAGTCTAGTTTTGATCCGATCCAGGTCGCCTTAAGTTCGTCGTCGCCGACTGTTATGTACTACCTGCCTCGCTCTAAAGTGTTTCACGTTTGATCAAGTTTCTAATGAACTATATTCACATTTATGGCTCTAAATCAATTTACTATGAAAATACATTTTATAATTAATATATGATATTTATTTGATATCATAAATATTGATACTTTTTTATCTATAATTGATTAAACTTGATATACTAAAACTTGACACTACCAGTCTGTTCGCTTGTTGGTTTCAGTCAACCCAAACCAGCCAGCCAACAGTGTTTTTCTCTCACAAAAAACCAGCACCAACCAACCCAAACCAGTACCAGCACCAACCAGCGAACAGACCCTATGTTAGAATTACATTCTTTCTAGGGCCGAGGGAGTACTACCTGCCCTGCCCTCTGCGGTTACATTACTGAAATATGGATGTGCTAAATGAAGCAGTAATTAGTTAAACCTAGAATGTGCGCAGATTTCATCATACAAATATGAAATGAAAATGTGTTATATTGACCTAGAATACATCTAGCTATTAGCTGAAAATGGTATTATTTTAGCCAATCAACGCATAAAAATTCTTGGAATGCCTAGGAAGATGTATAAATGAGCACAGTCCACCAACGCATGGCTTCGTTCTCATGTTGAATCTTTAACCATGGTGACGCCTTCAGTTTTCTGACATGAAATTCAAGGCAAACACCATGCCAAATCTATATATTACATTGATGTAAAATCAACTATTGCTAACTAAAGAAGCCAAAGCTAGATAGAAATAAACTAATAGAAATATAAACATGGCCAACTATTTGAAGCATTCAAAGAAGGCAAAAAGCAGAATAACAAATTTATATCTATGGGGCCATGGGTCGTACAATTTTGCCCGCTCTAGGAGAAAACAGTATCTTTTCAAACCAATTTTGATTTGTATTTTTTTTTTGAACTGTGACAATGTTCTAATGGTTTTTGGATGATATTGAATGCACAAGTACTAACATTGTTAACTTAGGTTATTAGCTTGTACTGTTCATCTGTTCCAAGGAGCACGTCGCAGTATGGCTTGGCCGCATGCTTTGCCCGTGCTTCATTGTGGTGACCAGCAGCAGGGCTTGGCTGGAGAGCAGCAGGCATCGTAGATTCGTAGCGAGGAGCGCCGAGAATGTGGCCGCCTGGCCGGCGTGTGGGAGAACCGGAGAAGCCGCGTTGAAGAAGTCGAGCGTGTCGTACACGGACATTAGGAGCGGCCAGCAGCGTGTCGTACACGGACATTAGGAGCAGCCAGCAGACGATAAGCTTAGCGTGTCGGACATTAGGAGCGGCGGGGCAGCAGACGATAAGGTAGTAATTTTTTAGGGGTGTAGATAGAAGATAGATAGATAGATCCGCCTCAGATTGTACCCTTAATTTAAAACTATCTTTATCTTCCAAGACTAAGAGAATCTGAGGAGTTTTGGAAAACAACTCTCTATTTTTATTTCTTCACAAAAGAAAAAAAAATCTCCTTCAATAATTTAATAAAAAGGTTCTTAAGAATATTTATATATTCTCCTCTACTCCTATGTTTCTGCAGTGGAGACAACTCCGTATCCCTCCGATGGTTTCCACGAGTGTTGAGTGCTGTTTTTTGGGGTGCGGTCTAGTTTTGATCCCATCCAGGTCGCCTTAAGTTCGTCGTCGCCGACTGTTATGTACTACCTGCCTCGCCCTTTGTCCGCTAAAGTGTTTCACATTTGATCAAGTTTCTAGTGAACTATATTCATATTTATGGCTCCAAATTAATTTATTATAAAAATATATTTCATAATTAATATATAATATTTATTTGATATCATAAATATTGATATTTTTTATCTATAATTGGTTAAATTTGATATACTAAAACTTGACGCTATGTTAGAATTACATTCTTTTTAGGACTGAGAGAGTATTGCTTGCCCTGCCCTCTGTCCTTTTGCCCTTTTGTTTAAGAGATATTTACCTATGTGGCCTTTAAAAAAATGCATCTTCCTTCCGAGGCCTTTTTTTTTTTGAACTTACCTATATGGCCTAAAAATGAAAAACTCTTCCTTCTATGGCCTTTCGTCCAATTCAGGCCATTGGCGGTGTTAATTTTACCCCCGGTGAAAAAAGTGTAGAGTTTAGTTTGTCTATTTTAGATTTAGAGTAATATTACGCAAATAAGGTCACACATAATAGTACATAAATGTGGGGGACTGTTTATATGCAAATTGTTCGTAAAAAACTAATTTATTCACTAATTCATATGTAAATGACTATTTTAGAAAAAAAACATTAATTTTTCGAAGTTTTTCATCCATCAAAGTGATATATGGTCCACATAAATAGAACAATAGCATTTTAAAAAGATAAAGGACTCGTACTATGGTTCACGCTTGTAGCCTGTATAGGGTAGGTAAAGTGTATTCCAAGTGTATTTCTTCTTTTATTTTTCCTATAAGAAAACGGCAAGCTGACATGGTTGTGGCACTGTGGCCATGCTCGTCCATTACAGAGCAAGCAGATCTTTCGAAAAAAAATTACAGAGCAAGCAGAGCACACAGCCTGGAGGTGTCGCTGCTATTTTTTCCCATACGCGCTCCTGCCCGCACGCGGTAGAAACACAGGAATCAGGAAGGGCATTTTAGTCATTTCACATGTCTACAAGTGAGGAAACTTACAGCATTTTCAGGCCATACAGATTAGTTCTAAATAAAAAGGGCCACAAAAAGAGTACGTATTTTTTTAAGGCCATATAAGTAAATATATCTTTGCTTAATGGAGGCCACCAACGTCAATCCATGAGCAGTTTTGTTTACTTTTAGATCGCTTCATCCGTGCACTATGCATATTATTGGACAGGGCATGGACAACTTGCCTGACAAAAAGTCTTGTCTATGAGTTGTCTGAAAATTTAATGAAATCTGCTTGATAAAGCAAACTTGAGAATGGCCTGTTTGATTGGAAGCCTTGACCCGAGAAAGTTAATAGTAGAAAACTTTCTAACTTACATCTAATTAATTTTGTTATACACTTTGATTGTACTATTAAATGGTAATACATCAATTAATCTAGCAAGAAACATATTTGGATTAGATATTTTTTTTCAAAATTTTTTGCGAAGTATTTAATCTAGTCATGTCAAAAAAACATGCAAGAAAATTATGATAAAGTTGTATAATATTGTGATGTGTATATATTCTAATATTCGCGTCGCCTAAAAGCTAACATAGATTGCTTTATCTTCTATTTATATATGTTTCCTTGTATCCTGATCACGATGGTGCAGGGTTACTAGCCCATTCAATCACGCTGCAACGACCTCGCAGTCGATTTCGATAGCCTGGCCATAGGCAGCTGTTGCCTCGCAGGCAACTTTTCAGGGCCCCAAGCAAACACGGTACAGGCAGGGTCCAGACAACAATTTTTTTCGGGCAATCTCAGCCCAAGCTCGTAACCAAACAAGCCCCGTGCCACTAGACTCTGCGCGCGCAAGCCGCGTGCTGCCTTTCTCCGCGCCTGGCCTCGCGAGCACATTCGACCGCCCTGTGTCTGTGTGTGCCCCAGCTCATCTACCTGTCACACGAGCCTAGCCGGCTGATCGCCACGCGCATCCGCCGGGTGAGCCCACCCGACCGTGCGAGGGAGCGCTGCGCCGCCTCGGATTCTCAACCCGGCCGTTCCAGTCCTCCAGCCATCTAGCGCCATCGCGGAGACGCTCTCCAGGACGGTACAGGACAGTGGGGGGTCCGGTCGGCCGTCCGATGGCCGATATAATCCTGTCGGAAGGCCGACAGGAGCTAAAACATCAGGCCCCCACGCGCGCTCTCTCTCCCTCTCGTAGGCGCCGGCACGCCACCCTTAATAAATGAAATTATGAAGAAAAAAAATCCATCCCCAGTCTAACGAACATTGGCTAACGCAACAGTATGATGGCACTACTTTACTGTCTCTTGCTACTACAACTATTTCAGATACTAGGCCAATCATTTGATCAATGCAATTTTTGTAGACTGAACCACTTATTTTTCATAGGTGCAAGATTATTTATGAAGTGACCGTTTGAATTTCTTCTTGTTCGGGTGGAGAACCCTGGAAATCTCATCAAGCTCTATACAGACGGGCATCTTTGGGTCTATCACTTGAGATCACCATCGAGGTACTCCAGATTTCAAGAGTCTGCTACCTGCTATGCATCTTTGTGATTTTACAAAACATATCGGCACCCCAGAAGCCGACAGGGCCACGTACAGGACCGTCAGATGGCCAATAGGAACCTGTCGGCCAGCGGACAGCCGACAGGAGCGCTCTCTCTCTCCCCCTCGCAGGCGCCGGCCAATAGCCGATAGGAACCTGTCTGCCATCGGAAGGCCGACAGGAGCGCGCTCTCTCTCCCCTCTCGCAGGCGCCGGCTGATGGAGGCCGTCCGATAGCCGATAGGAACCTGGCGGCCGTCAGATGGCCCGAGGAGCCTGTCGGCCAGCGGAAGGCCGAGAGGAGCGCGCTCTCTCTCGCAGGCGCCGGCTGCTGGAAGTCTAGGTAGGGGATCGACATGGCCATGGCTGCTGGAAGCCTGGAGGAGTTATATAGACTGAGCTCGTGACTGCGGCCGTTGACGGGTCACCATCGCGTCGATCCCGCGATTCCTCACGGACTTATGGCGACTGCAGGTTTGTTTCCCCTCGTATCCTCTCGTTCATCAATTTCTTTGCCTTGTCATTCAAAACTCTGAACTGGAGAGGTTCTAACTCCAAGAGAGTGGCCGTATTTATTTAGTTGCGGCTTCATGCGCATCAGTATTCTCAAGTACCTAAGTTAAGTACAGCAACTTATATTTCTTACTTGCTACAACTGTACTACAAAAAGAAACGATGAAGCTCCAAATAGCGCACCACTGGGTGCCATGGGTTCCCTTCTCAGGAGGCTGGATATGCTCCCTTGCACAGATGATGGGGGAAGCATCTCGGAGCTAAAAGACTACATTCACAGCATTAGGGATAAGCTGAAGAAGCTATCGGAGGTACAGGACCCTCCCCTCACCGTGAATTACTGGATGAAACATGCGCGCGAATTGTCATACGACATAGAAGCATATCTCGACGGTTTAGATGCACAGACGGAAAACAGTCTCAACGATTCAGATGCCAAGGAGGGAGACGATCCCGATGATTCATATGCCAAGATGAAAGACTGTATCGACAATTCAGATGACGAGACGGAATACTCGGTCGATTATTCACAAGACGAGATGGAAGACAATCCCGATGATTCAGATGCCAACATGGAAGACCCTATCGATGATGATTCAGATGACGAGACGGAAGAGACTGTCGATAATTCAGATAACAGTACGCAAGACTCTATCTGCAGTTCAGATTACAAGATATCAGGATTCAGGACTCGTGCCAAGGGAATGATTGATCGGTATGAAAGGTTCGGTCTTGATTCCGTTCTCAGTTGTCCTACAGCTGCAACAACTATAGTAAGCCCTCGTCCCAGTAGGGATGTGGTCCTTGTCGGCATGGGCAACCAAATAACAAAGCTTATGTCGCTGCTGCAGCCGAAGGATGAAAATGATAATCAATTAAAGATTGTATCCATTCTTGGTGATGAAGGAATTGGTAAGAGCACGCTTATCCAAGAATTATGGCGTGTATCATTTAAAGAAAAAGAAATATGGCCTGAACCGCAGTCAGATGTAAAAATTAAACGAGCTTTCGTACGGATGGGTAAAATGCCTGATGTGAGGATGATTCTTCGAAGCATACTGTCACAAGTCAGCCTGCAAGAACCAGCCAAAGATAGTGGGGTGACAAATCTCATTCAGGATATCAGGAAGCACCTAGAACAGAAGAGGTTTGTCTTAGCCGTATATATCGATTCACATGTTGGTTGATCTTTTTCTTAGTTTATAAGTTTTCCCACTTTTTTCCCTTTGTGTCTTGTTGTAATGAGAGTTGAATATTCAATTTGCATCCCTAAATAACCTACTCTAAAAATTTTGTATATATCTAGTAATTTTAAGATACATAAGTGTTAGAAACTAATGGATAAATTTAAGACCACAACTAATCAAATCACTTATATTTACTCATAATCTAACATACTCATGTCATTTTTTTATATTTGTTCAGTTATAGAATTTGTTACCATTTACTCTATATACTTTACATCCCAATTCGTAGCTTTTCATATCTACATCGTAATTCCATCTATGCTCGATATGTGTTTATTTGAAACCCTATCTCATTTATTCACATCATGCATCCATTGTGTCTTTGACATTTTATATGCGTTTGACATGAAAATTAACACACTCATTAGTTTTTGTATAGGTACACATATCGTTTGCATAGTGACAGACAACATGCATGTATACCTTTCATCATGACATGAAAAATCAAGGATTGTGATATGTTCAAACTCTCTACCTTCTATTGGGTAACCAGAGTACCATATAAGGCCCTTCTTCTCCATGTGGCAATGAACCGAGCAAGGTCTAAAGATTTCTAGGAGTATGGAGGTAGGAAGGAGGCCGCAAAATTGTTTGTTGGTATGAGGGGAAGTTTGGTTTGGATCCCACATATGTGCAGCATGATGCAACACCAACACGTATGTTGGTATTGTGATTCTACCATAATGCCATCTGCTTTAAATTGGTGTTCTGATAATAATATATTAGAGTGCAGGGTTAGATTCAGATCCAACAGATCAAACAATAACCAAAGAACAAGTATAAACACCAGTATACACCGTGGAAGAAAATACGCAGATGAGAATGACACACACTCTAACATAATCCTACCGAGATCAAGTGGACATGTGGAGGCCTGCTATCAACTCCATGCTACCTCAATTTTGTTCTGTCCTCTTTTACTACTAAAGCTGCCCATACTCTTCTCTTTTCTCTCTTCACTTCTTACTTGTAATCTTATCCTCATATATTGATGGAATGAGTCAAGTAAGATATCTCGATGCCTGATCCATTGGATACTGGTTAATTGTTGGCCTTAAATTTATGTACACGAACTTGTAATACTTATGTCCCTTTTTAAAATACTTATTTCTCTCAAACTGCTATCCTATGCAAGAGAATGCATACCAAACTACGTTTCATGTCAATCCCAAGTCTGAAATGGTTTAATCATTTTTCATTCTACAAAATTAGTTGCCATGAATCTGGCAAAGCATGTTCAGAACATTTACTACAAAATTATTTTGCAGGTACTTCATTATAGTCGACGACGTGCAGTCATTATCAGTTTGGGATGTTGTTGGCCATGCTTTTCCACGTTGCAGCTTTGGCAGTAGAATAATAAAATAACAACAACATCAGATAAGGAGGTTGCACTGGCATGTTGCAGTTATGTACTTGAGCATAATTATGTTATGGAACCTCTCAGTGGGGGTGATTGTAAAGAATTATTTATCAGAACAGTTGTTGGCTTCAGGACAGTGAATCTTCAATTATCTAAAGACGTTTCAGGTGAAATTAAAAGAAAATGTGGTGGTTTACCCCTAGGTATTATGTGGACAGCCATTCTCGTGGCAAGCCAGCCAGAAATAAAAGAAAAGTTATGCCAGCTGGAAACAGAACAGGGATTAAGCAAGATGGAAAAAGAAGAGAACCTGGATTGTGATGCCAACCGCGGGCCACCGCGCCCGCCGCTCACCTGCGCCTGGCCATCCTTCCACCGTGCCGCGCTGCTGCCGCTGCCGTCGCGCCTCCTGGGCTTGGCCGAGGCCAGCCACAGCGAGCCGCTGGCCCTATGCCCTGCTGCTCTGCCTCGCACTACCGTTTGGGTGCCACCGCGGCCGCGCTGCGCTGCGCTGCCGTCGCGTCCGCACTGCCGGCACTACTCACGTCACGATGCTACTGCTGCTGTCGCGTCGTCGTCGCGTCCACGCTGATCCGCTGCACCTCTGCGCTTTTGCTAGCCCTATGCGTGTCGCCTCTACTGCGCGCACATGGGCGAGCCGCCATCACCACGCCATTTATGGCACTGCGGCACTCGGGCCATGCCGGTCGGACGCGCGCATGCGTTGTCCGTAGCGCCGGCGCGTGGGCCTCCCGTGCTCGCCGCTCACGTCCCACCAAGGCGTGGACGAGCCGAGCCCACCTGCCGCGTCGTCTCTCTCTTTCCCTCTTTCTGCCTCTGTTCCCCCCCGCCGTCGCGTCGTGTCACGGTGAAGCCAGAGAGCGAGCACCTCTCATCAATTCCTCGTGCTCGCGTCTCCGCCTTCACGTCCCCTCTCCAGCCGACCCACCCCGCCTTGACTCGCGTCACGCCGAGCTCCAATTTTGGAGCTTTGCCCGCCGCCGTGCCGTTAAGGCCCGTCACCGCCCGCGTCGTGGCCAGTCTCCACCACTTCATCCCACGCCAATTCCTCTGCACCACTAGCTCGCCTTGGCTCCCTCTTCGTCGTGCGCACGCTAGTCGTAGCTCTAGTGCCTTTGCGGTCCGCCGTTCATCTCGTAGCGTGCACGTGGCCAGCCTCGCTGGGGTCGTCTCTGGCAGAGCCAGCTTCTCGGTAAGGTCACTGGTCAGTGGTCGTTGCTCACCCGCTACCCCTACAACCTTGTTGCTGCGGCTCACCTGAACACCATCGTCATTGCCGCAGGGTGCCCGCCATCATGGAGAGGTCCCTCTACGGCGTCTCGGCTCGTGCAACCGCCGCCCATCGTCTCGTGAGCGTCGGCCTCGTAGATAGGTCAGTGGGGGTCCTGTGTGGCCGACGTAAGCGCCAGTGCCACCGCTCACCGCGCCGGAGCACGCGGGGATAGCTGAGGACCTTACCGTTGAAAAGAGGAGAAAGATCTGAGGGTTCCGTTGCAAAGTCGTTGTCTATAGAAATAGTAACATGGACTGCGGGTTGTTTTGCTCATAGTCCAGGGGCGTTTTTGCAAGAGTGCCAGCGCGCACGGGCTTCCACGCCGTGGGCCGCCTCCGCACGTGGGTCGCGCCTCGCTTGTGGGCCGCCGCGCGCTCGCGCACGTGCTCACGTTGCGCCACGTGGACAACGTTGGGCCGAATTGAGTTTATCTTTTTCGTGGAGAATACAAATAGCTTTTTATTTTAATTCTGAGCTGAACTTTGGTAAATCATATAAAATCATGTAGGTATTCAAAAATTGTGAAACTAATTTTGTTGGTTTCTAAAATTGTGCTCTATCTGTTGGTGTATTTAGTTCATATATATATTTGTTGATACTAGAAACTATTAAATCATTTGGCAGTGCTTAATATTATTAGGTTAAATATTGTAGGAATTTTTGTGGCAATATGGTGATAGCTATAGGTTTGAAAATTTTACAGTAGCTTCATGGTATTATTATGTGCTCATTGTAATTTTTGTAGCTTTAGAATAGACTTAACATAAGGGTAGTTAAATGCTCTTTGTTTCAATTATACATTAAATCATTAGTAGAAATAAAGATATATCATTCATTTGTAAAGCTAGGTGTTTGTTAGTTGAACCGAACACTTTACTTGATGAAGATGATAGTTAGCTTAGTATCTTAGTCATTAGAGCTAGCTTAGTAGTTTACCATGTGTATTCTTAATTTAGGAGCTGTTGTTGCTAAAATACTAAGTGTTGCATCATCATCGCATGCATATAGAGAATGAGTTGGCGGAGATCGTGACCATCCGAGACCACGAGTTCAAGGAGGTGATCGAGGAGTATGAGGAGGAGGTCCTAAAGCCGCCAATGACTAACTGAGCTAACACCGCGCCTGCCCAAGGCAAGCCTCGGTGCATAACCCTTATTTTGAATAATCACTGGATATATATATATGAGATGTGCATTTACGTTACAGGATTTATATTGAAACTACATGCATAAATATACCTACCCAGGAGTCCTATTAGCATAGGTCGAGTAGCTGCTATGCTTAGGCTATCGATAGTGTGAGTAACCTATCGTTACTCACAATAGGTGATTATTATTATCACTCTCATGATAAAATGGTCAAAGGAAATGGAGACCGGGCCGAGATATGGTACGGGTATTGGTGGGCGTAAGAGGTTGTGTCCCGCGGCCAACGGGGCATAGCTTGGTTACACTATTTTCCCTGTCCGTGTCAGTTAAGGACCGGCCATTGCTTTGGATTCTAGTTAGGTCACAGACTTATTATCCTGATCACATACTTGTTTATGGGAGTAGGGAAGGCTCATTACTCTCTTGTCGTGGGTTCCGGCTCTTTCTGGACCGACTGATTGGAGGCGGGGATGGTGGAGGTCTAAGCACAACACTGAGTTCGGGACTCAGGAGTGCGGGCTTGGAGTCCAAGTTTAGACGAGGACCTGGACCCCTTAACAGGAGAGTGGTGGGTTGGTCCTGCTTGTGCCTAGGGTACAAGCGGGGCATGTGTTTCGGGGTACCCAGTTAGGCTACATTGATTCGTGAATCGCTGTGTAATACGGTACGACTTGTCTATGATCTAGCACCGTAGTAAGAACTGAAAGATGAAATATGGTGAAATGGATTTGATTGCTCAACTCTTGCTTGAAAGTAGAACAGGTGCTTACATAGAATGGCTAAATAAATGAACTAATCATGACTGCTAATAAGAACCTCCATAAGGATTCACTACTGTAAGGCTTTTCGCAAAAAGGAAACCTAGCAAACCATAAAGCTTGTCATATCCTTTGGAGTCGGGAAGTTATTTCCACTAGTCGGGTAAGTCTTGCGAGTATATTGTGTACTCAGGGTTTATTTACCCCTATTGTAGGTGCCGCTTGAGGAGTAGCTGTTGAGTGGAGGATTCTTCTGGTGGGCACAGACGGATCCTTGTATCTTATCATTAGAAGTTTATTTCAATTCCGCTGTTTAAATACCGCACTCTGAACTAGGTATTGTAATAATGTATTTATGAGAACTATTGATGTATAAA